ATATTCACTCCCAATTTGCTTACCAGTAGGCCCTTTAGCTCCAGTCTAGCGGATGCAATTGTGTCAATCATTGTTTGATAGTAAGTACCATTATCGGCAGCGTGAACTGGTATAACATTAAAATGAAAAAATTTCAAAATTGCTCTACCCACATTTTTTGCATTATCTTTTAAAAACATACTTTTCAAAGACTTATTTTTCGATTGAAACATGTATGGATCAAGCTTTTTTTTATGCAAACCTTCTGTCTTTCTCGTAGAACTTTCGAAAAAATTTCTTTTAGCTCATTTTGTATTCGAACTACTTCCTCCTACAAAGATAAAATAAAAATATGATTATATATAGTTTTTATTTCAAAATAAATATTCTAATATTAAATGTATTTTTTTTATAAAATTCAATAAATATACCTGCTTTAAAATTCAAGCTTCGTATATCTCTGGATACAGAATGTCTACGCTGCTGCTGTATAAATTCCATATTTCTGCTTTCAGCCATTGCTCTTTTTAATTGTTTTCTTTCAAGGGCATCTACCTCATCTTCATTTATTTCAAAACTTTCATCTTCTTCCTCATCAGAATCATCTTCCAAACGAATGGAATTGTGCAATGCTTCTATTTTTTTTTTTATTTGTTGCTCGCATACTTTTTCTTTGGATCAAGTGTTGTTTTAGTAACTCTCTTATTTCCTTTAGAGCTCTCGTACATGCTTCAACTTGACCTGTAACATGTGTTATATGTTGTTTCATCCTAGTAATCCCACCGTGAACAATTTTTCCACAACAATTGCATTTTGCTTGCTTTCTATCGTTGCTTATAGGAGTAGCATGATCCCAATCCATATCTTTATGTGTGCCATTTTACACAAACTCTAAAATTGAATAATAAAATTGTTAAAATATTTATAAGTAGTAATTTATTAGTTAATCGGACAAATTATACATATTATTTTATTAATAAATCAAATTTATACAAAAATTTAACTTAAATAACTAATTCGTATAACTTAGACTTAGAATATATATTTATTAAATTTATATATACAAACAAAGTTAATTTTAATAAAAACTTAATTTATATAGATTAAATAAAATTAAATACAATCCAAAATAATTAAACTTATCAATTAAATAAATAAATAAATCAAAATAATTCAACGATAAATTTAATCCAAAAATTAAGAATCAAAATTATATATAAACTATATTTAAAAAAATGTAAATTAATTAAAGTAATAATATAATTACAACAATGTCTTTCTTCCACCGGTCCTTCTTCCACGGCATTCTTCCTCCCGTGCGTTCTTCCTCCCAAAAAATTCACGAAGTAATTTTTTTTCTACACAATACCAACAATTTTTCTTCAATAGCGGAATTTTTTTTCTCAAATCTTTCTACCACATAGAAGATTGCTAAAACCCACATTCTCAACACTGTAAATGCCCAAAACTTACCTTGTCCACCACCAGGGATTGGGAGTAGAAATCAATATTTTTCGTCACCCGCCCAAGCCACCAGCTGAGAGAAGAGAGAAAGTAGGAGTATTTTTTTCGTCACTCGTCGCCGTCAGGAAGGAGAGAAGGGAGAAAGTAGGTAAAGAATGAATGAGAATTGAATTTTGGATAAAATTTGTATATATTTAAAAACTCTAAGAGAAATATACGATATTTCGGTTGAACCGGAACGGTCGGTTCCGGATTGGCCGATCCGGCGAACCATGATTTGAACTCATGATCATACAGTCACGAGTCAATCCCCACACCACTAGACTACTCTATATGGTACCAAAGTTTTGAATTTTTGTTTACAGGTTTGGTTGTTTGGTTTTTTGTTCCATCAGATTTTAATTTTTCAACGCATTCACTACGGCAAAGCGGCATGACCAATAAAATATAGCAAGGGTGAGAAAACGATAAAAGTTAATGCATTTCCGTGTGCATACTGAGGTATGTGGAGTGGAAGTGGGGAGGGAGAGGTTTTGTTCCACAGCCACACACGATATGGATTGGTTTTATAGAGAGAAAAAACAAAATTTTATTTTTTCATTTTTTTCAGATTGATATTTTTTTAAGTTTTTAAAATTTTAAACTTGAATAGTTATACAGAATATTGTAAAATTATCTTTTTTAATTTTCTACTAACCGATTCTCTTTAAGAATAAAATACGGTATATATCTCTAAAGACATACTTGAAGGTGCAACAGGTTGAGGTACTGGTGGCGGTGGGCGATACATCAGTTATGCTGGCGTTTGTGTTTGAAAATCTTGTTGCTGATTTCCTCAAATTGGGATGATCCTTTCACCCACGATTATATGTATTGAAGAACTTGCATGTAAGTTGCTTGCGCAAATCCAGTTGCATTCAGTTGTGCAGGGATAACTTCTTTAAGTTTAGGACAGACATCAATAGGATGTTTATACTTGTGCAGATGCCACATGCCATTACTTGCTGAGCCTGACCAACCACCAATTGACGCACAATCGTATTTAACTCAGATAGTTGCTGTCGAATGGGGTCAGAGTTAGAGCTATCAACCACTCCACTGTCTCGGGTACCAAACTGCTGTGTATTTGCTGGCATTCAATAGATCAGATCTCAAGCATCTTTAGGAGTTTTTTCAGCTAGAAGTACTAGATAATCAGGTCCAATTGAGGTCTTCATAGAAGTACTAGATAATCAACTGCTCGGTGATATATGATGTTGAGAACACCTTGCGCATAGGCGGTTGAATCGATCCCAATACTCATGTAGTGTCTTGCTTGGTTGTCACTTTATCCCACATATTTCCTTCCTTAATGTTGCAGCTCGAGATGCCGAAAAGTATTTCTCCAAAAACTTTCTTTGCATGTCAAGCCCATCACGTTATGCTTCCTGGAGGAAGGTAGTACAATCAGTCATGCGCTGCATCCTTTAAGAAAAAAGGGAATGCTCGCAATTTGATTTGTTCTCAGTGACTCCTACTGGTTTCATGCTTGAGCAAACAACATCGAATTCATGCAAATATTTATGGCGCTTCTCACCTGCGAGACCATAAAAAGACGGCAGTAAGTGAATTAATCCAAATGTCAGTTCAAATTTAATGGTATCATCTATGGCAGGGAAAGTAATGCAGAGGGGCTGTCGAGTTAAATTTGGAGCGTCTAGCTCCCTGAGTGTCCAGTGATCTTCTCTAGCCATGATAGTATCACAGTACTCGTTAGAAGTGTAGAAACTGTCTGACTGTGTATTGGAGTTTTTGTCAAATTCCACTTTCCTTCTAGCTTCTTTCCTCAACTTCCCTGCTAGCTTTTTGATCTCTGAATCGTATATTAATTTTCTAGTCCGAGAAGATCGAGGCATAAACTAGAATCAAACATAAGGAGAATAATATAATAAATAATAATATGTACATGTTCTTCTTAATCAATTTCATAATAGTAGCAGCATAGTCGAATCCATAGGGATTGTGATTGTGTTTCTTTAGTTGATTATTTAGATAGAATAGGGTGGGGGTGTTTCAATCAGGAATTAAGATAATTATACTAGGAAAATTAAATTAAGCCAAATAAAATTCAACAATCAAGAAAATAAATAAATTGATTTGTGAAGAAGTAAAAGCTCTAGTCCAAGGATTGGGTGAAAACTCAGATAAAGACTTTGATCATCGAATTTGATAATCTAATCAATCAATTGATAAATTAGTTATAGGTCATACGATCGACATCCAATTTTTCCTAACATTGTCGGTGATAACGGTACAACCAATTGACCACTCTCTAATCGAAGGAATTAAACTAGGTACGACCATAGTAAAAGTTATTTGATTGAAAATAGCGCAAGAAAAACTCAATTCGGATATTTAATCTATTATAAAAGATTTTCTATTCGATCGTACAATTCTTAGGCTAAGCTTATACAATTACAGATGCAGTTATTCAATTAGCACACAATCAATAGATGAGCTTAAAATTTGTACACTATAATAAATCCCACCTAATAATTGTAGACACGATACGCATAAATTGCACAAATATATAATTAAAACACAAAACCATTTCACAAATTCATAATCCAAAATTTCAATACAACCTTAAACTAGAATTGAAAAACTTAGGCATTAAACACAACTAGAAATTCAACAAGAAAAAGATTATACTTGATAGAAGATGACGCAGGTTTGTGCAACCGTTTCTTGATCGCTCCAGCTGTTTGCACGTTTTTTTTTTTTTTTTTTGATAAAAAACGTCATCCCCTAGAATTGGGCTTTAATATTTTTTTTCTTTTTGCTCCACCAATTCATCTTGATACAAAATTTCAATATGCCCTTAAGTCTTGACTTATCCAAATCTTCTCTAAGTATGGACATGCCTAAATGAAAAAAAAATAATTTGATTTTTTTTTAAATATCTTCAATTTTTTCAATTCCTAATACAAAATCAAATTCGACTAAAAATAAGTAAGAACTATGCAAAATTATAGTTAATATGCACAATTAACATATACAAAGTTAGATAAACAATAAGTTCATCATATATACTTCTTCCGTCTATTAGTAAACTTTCTATTTTATCATTTTAGTTTGTCCAAATCAAAATTGTTATTTTATTTTTTTTTAGTAAAAGTAACTTTGAACTAAATTTTAAAATACTCCTGCCTTTTATTTTTCACACTAATCTTACTTTAATATTAAGGGTAAAATATACATTACAATATTTTATTATAGTACATATCTATAGAATAATAATTTAGTTTACTCTGTATGTAAAAGTCAAATAAAAAATTTACTGAGAGAATTATAATATATAGTCTGTCCTTCTGTATTGCATGTTGTCAGCTCTTATATTATGTGATCTCACTACTAAGTTTTATAGTTGAGTACATTGACAACGGACACGAATATGATAATTTGAATGAATAATTGTTTCTTACGATATATTTTAAATTAAAGAATATACATTTGATTAGATAAAAAACGATCTTAAAAAAACCATAAAGAAAAAAAAATAAAAATAGAGATGCAAATAAGTTTGAAAGCAGTATAAATTTCACAGTAACGAGGTAGTCATACTCATACAGGAGAGTGGCTGTGCCTAGATAGATCGATCGTGACAACATACAGATCATTCTCTTGCACACTATTATTTATTCACCACATAAGGAAAGGAAAGTGGTCGAGTAAACCACAAGATACATACATATATATATATATATATATAGTGCATGCACTCTCTGGCTTTGCCTTGGTCTGAAACAAGTCTAGTTTTGGGTGTCGGCCTGAGCGTCGAACTCAGCCTTCTCAGCGGCAGAGCAGCAGCGATATCCGCAGCGGTACTGGCACCCGTAGCCACCTCCATATCGGCCTCCTCCGCCTCCATATCTTCCGCCGTATCTTCCGCCATACCTTCCGCCGCCGTATCTTCCGCCGCCGTATCTTCCACCGCCGCCGTATCTTCCGCCACCATATCTCCCACCTCCATATCCGTACTGGTCAGTTTCAGCTTCACTTTCCTCGACTGTTTGTTGTTAATCCCACAAACAATTACAATAATTATTTCCAACAATTTAAAAGAAAGAAAAAGGACATGACATGATCAATTCTGCAAAATAAAAAGCACTTACCTTGTTGTTCAGTGGCATCAGTGTTCTCAGCCAGATCTCTGGCAGCCACTTGGGAGGCAATCAGAAGGAATGCTGCCAAGAAAAGGATAAGAACAGCAACTGCTTTGGAAGTAGCCATTGCTAAGTAATTCAGATAATGGAAATGAATATATGTTTGAGAATCAGTTGTTATGATTGGGGTGAGAATCAAGGAGCATTGGTTGCTCTATTTATAGGGACACCAAATGGATCACATGAGTTGCAGTGATAATATGAGTAGGGCCTTAGGTGGTTGGGTGTTGAAGTGGCCATTAAATTAATGGATAGGGATTGAGCTGCAAATTGAAGAAAAATTCAGCCTTGGGTACCATTCATTACCAGCTACAAAACTTGGACTCATTTCAATTTATCTTGATGTGACATTCCACGTTGCAAAATTCCGACTTAATTGGTTGTTCAGAAGCTACTTCGTCCACTCTTATACACAACATTTTGAACATATATATTTATATGTGTGTGTTTTATTGATGTTCATAATTGTGAAAGTACAATCGAAGCATTAATTGGAAGCAAGATTAAATAAAAAAGCCATTAGGCATCAACCTCCTATCCCTCTAAGTCTTTGCATCATCCTTTCCTCTTTTCTCTATCTATTTATAAAATTTAATTAGCTGTGTTGAGGCTCATTATTGGGGTTTAGAATTGAAATGATTCCAATTTCAACTCAGGCAAATAACAAATTTCCGCTCCGTACAACAAGAGTTTTGAAAGTTATTTTGGTTCGTGAGGCTTTTGAATTAGAATTTTTTGGATAGGTTTTTTTTTATTATTATAAATACTATATAATAAATCATGTGATTAATAAAGTTGAAATGAAATATTAATTTAATATTTAATAGAAAAAAAATTAAATTTGATTTTGAAGATATATTAATGAAAATATAATCAATATATTTGCTATTTTATAAAAAATTATAACTTTGTATTTGTTGATGTATTTTTTTAACAAAAATAAAGTAAAATTCAAAGATATAGAAAATATCCTTAAACTTGATTAATTAGTGCCTGAGATTAGGAATCTCTAAACACTGTATGGTACAGAAAATAAACTGGAAAATAAAAGACTGAAATTTAAAGTGGTGATCCCCAAATCTGACTTTGCTTTGTTGAAGTTGATTGAAGATACCCTGCCAAATGATGATTCAAACCCTTAAATATTCTCTGGGAAACTGTACTGAAAACCGTCGCCCGAACGGTTACAACGTCTCCTTTCCAACCGTCTTCCAACCCTTCTCCTGCTGACACGTGTCCTCAGCGGACCAAAATTGTCACTATATTTCACTCTTTGAGCCGACCACAGACCTTCCGCCCTTTTGGCCCGACTGCCAATCTACAACCGTATTGGTCCGACTGCCAATCCTCCCGACTTGCAAACCATCTGACTTGTTTGGATTAGCTACAGACATCCCGACTAACAAACCATCCGACTTGTTGGTCCCGCCGCAGAGTTCCGACCTGAGAACTTCCCAACCTGTCCGACCTGAGGACTTTCCGCCCTGAGGACTTTTCGACCTGCGGACTTTCCGACCTGAGGACCTCCCGACCTGCGGACTTCCCGTCCTGATGACTTTCTGTCTTGAGGACCTCCCGACCTGAGGACCTTCCGACCTGAGATCTTTCCGTCCTGAGGACTTTCCGTCTTGAGGACGTCCCGACCTGAAGACCTTCCGACCTGAGGTCTTTCCGTCCTGAGGACTTTTTGTCTTGAGGACCTCCCGACTTGAAGACCTTCCGACCTGAGGTCTTTCCGTCCTGTATTTTCCTTAGAAATAAACCTATTTTCCTTGATTTCCTCACGGTGTCCTTCAGCCAGTTCAATCAACTCTATTGCCAGGCCCATTTTTCTTTTACCTTGGGCTTTTTAACCTAATTCTAAATTTCATACGTAACAACTTGCCCGCCGCCAAGGGACTTTCAAACGCCATTTATCAATCGACGTTTGGAAGTTCATAAAGCACCACCCTCTTGAAAAATTTTCTTAGCAACTGCACCAGTTACTGCAACACTCCTGATTAACTTCCCTTTCCGCAATACGAGCCTTTGTGAATCACAATCTCAACCACTCTAACCATGGCGAATCGATACATTCCTGCCCTTCCCTTTGACGGAACCCTCCCAGAGGGCCCGTTTTCAGCCTCGAAAGTACTAACTCCGACCATCCGCCCATACTGCACTACTCCTGAAGACTCAAATCGGATGAGGGAAGTTTTGGAATCCCGAAATTCCTTGGCTATCAACAACCCTACTTACCAAGCAGTTCGCATTCGAGACAGCATCAAAACCCATCTCACAGACCCAAAAGATCCTTATCGCTCTTGGTATCGACGGGTATCAGAACACTTCCAGACCCAATGGCGATCTCAAAAAATCGACCAAGCGATTCTATTATCCACCATGCCGATCAATCTGCACGAGAAGGTGCTCCTAGCTATGTCGGCCTTCTGGAATGCGGAAAATGGGACTTTTCTCTTACTGTCGGGCCCCTTTGGTCCAACTCTTATGGATGTAGCGATGATCGCTCATCTCCCAGTCGTGGGTGAAGACCCTGTGATGGGAGCCCTAGATGGGCAGGAGCCACCAGAAGACCATCCAGGGTGGTCTTTACAAGGCGTGAAGGAATGGGGCTGGACAAAGTTCGCGATTGACCAGCAAGGGGCTCCAGGGACCCCCGTGACCGACCGGGAGCATACTGCCTTTATTCTTTTTTGGCTTTGTAGGTACGTCATTGTTTCCCCTTCTAAATGCGTTCTTTCTTCTCACCTCGACCTGGCCATTCATATCGCGTCAGGTCGGTTCTTTTCCCTTGGCACTCTGTTTTTAGCCAATCTGTTTGAAGGACTCACTAGAGTTAGCCTTCGTTTAACAGATAATGATAATAGAAAATTAGACACCGCCGCGTCGGGTCCTTTTTGGTTTTTAGAACTTTGGCTCCGTCTTTACTTCCCCAACGCGTTCAACTTAGGATCTCCACCCACTATGCCAATATCCGAAAAACATTTGGGATTAGCCCTCAACCGACTCTGCTCAGGACGCAGTAAACTCCAATCCTCCGACCCAATAATAACCACAATTTTGACAGATACCCGCAGTAACTCTCGATTTTCTATGTATAAAAATATGCGGGTTATGCTCCCGACCACTTTTGGCCTTTTCCGGCACCAAATCCTCTTCCGACTCCTGAGCCTTGTCCTCATCCCACTTATCCTTTTGCCTGGGACGTTGCCCTCAAACCCAGGTCTCTTTTTAGCAGTAAAAAACTTGATAAAAAAGGGCAAAAAACTTTTTGCACCTATAATTACGAACCTCAATTCATGGCGCGCCAGTTCGGCTGCTGCCAAGGTATCCCTGGACCCGTCGCTTGTCCTCATATAATTTTTCAAAGTCCTGACCGACGGGTCCTACCTAATTCAATTCCTTCTTATATCTCCCAGCTCACCACGTATATAGTTTCCAATTCTTATATTCCTTTCCGCTCCAACCCTGAGACTGTAAATACATTCAATGAATGGTGGTCGGTTGTATGGGCCCTGATCTCCCCTGATGAGGATCGATTGCTGAACGTGCTCCTTCCCCCTCAAGGATTGGTTATAGGGGCAGCTAAACATACCAGCACTCAGCAACAAACAGCCGCCCCGGGAGTCGGATCTAGCGTCCCAATGCGGAAAAGGAAAGCTTCCCAGCTGCAAACACCTCCGACCTCTGGGGCTGACCAGCAAGCTCCGGCGGACCTTGGAACTACTAGGACGTCAGCAAGGACCCGACCCCGAATTGGTAATTTTCTGAAAACCGTGAACCAATTCATTATATCTTAACTTTGATTTCACTCATTTCATTCACCAGAACCGACCTTGGTAGCATCGACCACACAAACGACGCCAGCCCCAGCTGACCAACCAATCGTCCCTTTGGTCCAGTCTCAGGCACTTCCTCTCCAAACGAGCAGTCGGGCGAAGGACCCGACAAGGAGGCAAACTCTTCCCCCCGCGCCGAGGAGCGGTCGGACCAGGCACCCGACCAAGAGGCAATCTTTACCAGCACTGCCTATAGAACCAGTAAGTCCTCTCATCTGCAATACTTAGGATTCTAATGATCAACCTTGGTGTATTTAACAACAACATTTCCATACTTTTTCACAGACACCTTCACCAATCGCATCAGCAGCAGGGGTCTCTTCAGACAGCGAGGGGACTACTTCTCAGATGGGTCGACCGCCATACATGGCATCAGACTCATCCATTTCGAAAGAAGAACCGACTGCCCTTGCCGAAGCTGACCCTCAAGACAACATCCCTGCTGCTGCTGATCCCGAAATCGTCCAATCGGATGCAGCAGCGCTGGAAGCCGAAAGTACCTCAGCTGCGGCTATCCCAGTTGCTCCTGAGGTACCGGCTGTAGTGGCCCTAGATGCAGCCGCCCAACCAGCAGCCGCCCAGCCAGCAGCGGCCCTACTTCCAGCAATCGAGTGGCAGGCAGAAGAACCACCTGTGGCAGCCCAACCTCCAGAAATAGAAGAACCTTCTTCGTCTAATTCGGAGACTTCTGTGAATTTGGTAAGATGAAACCAATTCATGCCACAATGTTTCTTTCTAAAAACACTAACTGTTTTATATACTACTTTCCATAGGGACCCAGGTCGGCACCTCAGCGACCATTCGCAGCAGCCGACGAGTCGGCTGCTGTTATACCAGCTGTCCGCCCTACTCGACAGACCTCATTGTTGCCCCCCTCAATGACAGCAGTTCGCCCAGAGGTAACATATATCTCGCCTGAATAATTTTGCATCTCCTTTGGAGTACTTATTGAAACTGTAAGACTTGCAGGGGCCTTCGGACTTAGCTATCCTATCGACTGTTCCGGTTCCAGCGGAGGCCCAAACTATATTCACCGAGGCCATTAACCATCCCCTTCCAGAATTAAGATCCGACCTCTTGGACAAACTCATTCAGACGGTTGGTGGCCTTCTTTTTTATACCCCGACGGAATCGCCAGCCGTCCCCATTCTGCATCGGCTGATGGAGAGACTTACTGAGCTCAAGACTGAAGTGTTAGTTATTGGACTCCTGTCAGCCGAAACTCCCCAGCCTGTCTTCGATCAAACAACACTGGAGAATTCTTTGGCTAAGACCCGAGAATCCCTTCAGCAAACTACTGGAAGGTT